CACGAGCAACCTCTCAAACCCTGCCGGTACTCCACAGTTGCAAGAAAATGTCGGACTGGACGACGAGCCAATGCAATCCTGCTACATCCAGCCAGGCAGACAGCTGCCAAACCAGGCCAATGTCGACCCACTGCATACCCGTATTGCAATGTCAAACAGATCCTGCAGGAGAAGGGTGGGATGTTGGCGTCCAGGGTGCAGACACCAGTCACATTTCCTGCGTCTTTTGCAGCATACAGGATAGACTCATCACTATAAAGTCCACTACTTCGTGATTTATATTTGTAGAATACATGACAGGCGTATTCAGTGTGCCTCGCAGGACTGCGAGATGCTGCAGAAGACCAGGTTCAACCTTTCTGGACGGCCATTCACCGACGGTGGGCTACACGATGCTGGAGGAACTAGATTCCAGTGAAAACCCAAGATTCCTTTGCTCCTGGACGCTCTGACGTATTGTGATATCTGCCAGGTGCGCAGTAACTAGTATTTCATTGCTAGAGCGAGGACGACGTCGATCGGCAAACTCTTGCTCACAGCCATCACCAGCCTCTCAAAACCATCACTTGGCATCCCCCAGAGATATAGGAGAAAGCCAAAACAGCTCACAACAAACAAAAGCTAAGGACGATGGAAAGAGAGCATGTCAAAAAAAGACGAACAGTATGAAGTTCAAATGGTTTTGAACACTCGTATCACCATCTATACCACTTTCAATAAATCGTGACGCCATTTTGTTTTAACACGCATACGGTCCACTACCCATCACCTTTCTGTCTTTATTGTCACTCGTATTTCTTTCCGCCTGACAAGCCCGTGTTCGTTTGTTTGTCAGTGACTAGCTAGCTAGGCAAGCCCTAGGCAAGTTAGTGAGGAGACACGGCTGGAAAAACCCACGTACCTGAGCTTGGCTGGTGAATAGGTTCGATCGCGGGGCCCGAGCATCACACGCGCATCGATCGTCGTTGACGCCAATCACTACACGACATTTTTTGGTGTTGACTTGGATGGTGATTGCTCATCAAGGGAGTCAGGTGAAAGCCGCTGAGCTCCAGAGGACAACTCTCTCCTGCGGCAAAGCGACTCGGCGAGGCTGCAGACTTCGTGTAGAAGAAGCAGAGCTGATGAGAATGACGACGACTCGAGTGGATATTGTTGAGCGATGAACGACACCTTCACTAGTAAGTTTGTTGGATATCGACAGTGACGATGCAGAGCGAAGGCGTCTCCATTCACAACTGGAGGAGCAACGAGTGCTAGCGCCAGACAAGACCTGCTTCGTTGGCTTGGACACTGACCAACTGGAAACATTTTTTGGTCCATGCAGCAGCTCCCTAAAAAAATCAAAAATATGTTCCTGTTGGGTCAGGTAACCGTTGAATGTATCTGCAACTAGTACGAACCTCATGCTCATGATCCTGTGTGCTAAGGCCGCGGTCACACCGAGCTCGATTCAGCCGATCAGCCGAAAAAAGCGCTTGTTTACGTCACTATTACCATGGAAATGGCTGAAAATGGCCTACAAGCGACTTTCAGCCATGGCTGACTCTCAGCCGGGTTTTTTCGGCTTGTTTTAGCCACAGCTTGTACAAGCGGCTGAAAGCCGAAATTCAACAAATGGGCCAGTGCATGCAATACCGTGTCTAAGGGCAAATTTTTGGAATTTTTTTCTTTCTTGAAAATCAATCACAGGGGTCTAGAGAACACCTCTGTGGAAGATGAAGTTGGATATCACATTTGAAAGTACATAGAGACCATGATTTCTATGGCATTGTTCAACATAGAATATGCCTTGTATAATGCATTATCTACAGTGTCGCTAAAAGAAGCAACAGTTTTGCGTATCAGCCTTTAGAATTAGCCAAGACATTCAATAAAGGCTGCCGTGTTCTCCAGTCAAAACCGGGCAACATTGTCCAGCAAGTTCTTGCGACGTTGAGCTAACAAGCCTTCCCTCGCGTTCTTTTTGTACAAAGACAACATGGTCACAACGGAGTGGCTCCGTTGCAGAATTCTTTTCATCCTATGCACGAGGCGAACGAATATCGTCCTGGAGCAGCTCACACTTGTTGCACATATCCATCCGTCGCGTCATGAACTCGATGGACTTGCATTTCTTAGTCCACAGATACAAAAATATACGGTAACCCAAGGTTTGCGATTCACCAGACTGCTCGACATGTTCCGAAAGGACAAACTTGTAGCCGACAGATGTAGGTAAGTTTATGGTAGATTCCCCACCTCTCCCTCTTGGTGCAGCAGACAGCGGGAGGCTGAACACTCAGCTGTAGTTCAGAATAAACTGCTGCGCTCTGTCTCCCGCTTCTGCACTAAATTTATTCCAAGGCACATTGACAGATTTCTATGTGCACCAGGATGACAGCTATTGTTCTCCTTGCCGGTCCACTTGCACACAGTCCTGTTCTGCCAACCAAAATCATAGAGCTGCATAAACACGGTTCCACACACGATGTATCCCATCACAGTTTATCCAAATGTGATGCGCGTCCGTTCCATTGCGGAAGCTGTCGACTGATGCACGACAGTCGACAGGATCGTCATGCGTGCAGCGCAGCCAGCACACCAATATAAAAAAATGCCGAGGTCCTTGGATTTCATCGTCGTAATGGAGGATTGCGCTTGACGTGAAGCTGCTGAAATGGTAGTTTCGAACGCAGCCACAGCCTTCGAGAATCAGTGAGTCCACAGCGGCAATGCTCTGAAGCGCGTCCTGCTCATCGTCGCTTGCAGAGTCTACAGAATCTCCGCCTAATTCATCCGCTCTCGACTCGCCTTCAACCTCAACGCAGGAGTCTTTCACTCCCGGACGCTTAGCTGGGGCTTCGTCAGAGTCACTGTGAGCAGTACAGCTGCTAGTTGCCGACTGCTGCGACCCATGACTCGCCAAATAAATTGTCGTCTTCCTCGTCGATAGTAAACCTTGCCGATCTCTTCGGACGCGCCGACGATAATCACGCGAGCGGCACAGCTCAACCGACGTGCTGCTCGGCGTCTGCCGCGAGCGTGTCTACTCAGAGGCCCTTCCTCAAGTGCTACTTCCATTCCAACTCCTCCTGCGCCGTCACGTCCATGATGAGTGCAAGTCGATCGCTTGTCGCTTCTCTTGTCGTCTTGAGATCGATTAGGAATGACATTCCTAATGTAGACAAGATCCGCGATCGAGCCACAAAAAAATATAACTCTTCTTTCCGAGCGATTTTCTCAAAATTTTGAAAGAAATCGGTTTCCCCCGAAGACACGTTTTCGCATGCACTGGCCCAAATAATTTGAGTGCGCTTGGAGCACACCATGTAGGTAGTTGACATGATCATCCCCCTTTTTTTCTAAACATTTGAGCATTTACACTGATTTATGAACATTTACACTGATGTATATTATACATTGTTTATTTATTAATTTTTTTAATTTTTTTGTCCCATCGGCCTCTTCATATTTGTGCAGCTGCACTGTTGAGCTTCCGATATAAAACAAATAATAATAATAATAAAGGTTTGCTCCCCACACCGGAGCTCGCGCTATTCCGCCGACTTTACTTGGTGTGGGGAGCAAACCTTTCTTACAAATCATCGCCGAAGTCGCAACCACTACTTCGTAATAATAATAATAGTAATAATAATAATGAACTGATATTGATGTTCTTTCTTGTGTCCGTGGAACGTGCCATCCCTGTGCCTTTGGTTTTGACCGTGAGTCTGTCTATCCAACTACACTGTATTCAGTTTGATTTGGATTTTGTCCGACGACCATGGATTCCTGCCACTGTGCCTCTAGACTGCTGCGTAGATTGTTGGAGCTGTGGTTTGAGGCCAAGACAAGGCACCTTACTCAAGACCGAATTCATGAAGGAAGCCTGGCACGTAGAAGAGAGTGGATTGCAACTGAGTTGAAGAACGGCAACCGGCGGGGCAGAAAGCTCGACATCAGGAAACACCACCCGAACCATCGCGTCTATGCACACCGAACAAATAAAAAGAGCACGACTTCGCAATTCAGAGTCCGGGCTTCCGTTGCTTCTTCATCAAAACTGAACACTAGAACAAGTACAGCTTTAGATCGCGAACGTTCTGCTTTCCGGTTTCTTGCAAACATTGCTGTGTTTCGAGATATTCAAAATTTGGCGGGCTTTGCACTCAAGGTCTGGTGTGACCGCGTCACAGGGACCACGCAAGCCAGCTGAGCACCAGCGATAACAAGCCCAAAGTGGCTTGTTTCTGTGTCACAGCTACTATGGTTGCACTCTGTGTGTGCAGATATGTTTTCATAGAAGTGAAGGGCTTGAAGGGCATCAGTACAGAGCCTGGTGTGGATGCAATATCAGCCCCTGGAACCAACTTGGCCATATGACATCAGGTGTGCGATAGTTGGTGAAGCCAATGATCAAGTTACCATCCCCTTATATTGTATTGGGCCTCCGCAGCTTAACCCTCTCCCCCCCCCACGACCACCATCCCACGCACACACTACATTGTCACATAGCACAACTCAACCATTCGCTACCCTGTTATTGAGCACTCCTGCTCGTTTGGTCTCGCGAATCCAAATAAAGTCAATCAATCACTTGGACAAGCCAGTGTCTGAGTACACCGACAAGGACTATCAAATTCCTCCATGTTAGCTGGCTGAGAGATAGCAATGCGCAACAGGATCAGACACATACCAACACTCACAAATGCATCTTACACAGAAAGGCCACTTCCAACATTTGTACAGAGATGTGGTGTACCGCATTTTTTGCCCTCTTACGGTGCTGTGATCGATCTCAAACTTCTTGAGACTGGTTATCAGTGGTTGTGGATCAATTTGGAGCACAACATATTAATTTTTTTGAAAATTTTGCACATGTGATGTTTTTGTTGATCCAGGCTCAATTTTCTTCCAGCGCGTGTGCCAAGAGTGAATTACAACTGAAGAGAGCAGTTGTCAGTCCCCCCCCCCCCCCCTTATAAGCAAAATACAAAATAAGCATAATTATCGCTTACCGGAGACAAACCACGTGCCACCTTCACAGTGTCCAGCACTATCTCATGCAGCTCCTCAGCCTTGGGACGATCTTCCGCAACGACTGCCAGGCAGCGAAAGATTGCAGGCTTGAGTGGATGGCCGTCTGGTATTCTTTCCAAATCAACGACGCGCCGCTCGACTTCGGTGATAGCCGTGACGGTCTCCTCACTCGTTCCGTCCGCTCGCTCCACTTGTCTGATGATTGTCCTTGGTGAGGTGTGCATGTCTGTCGACGGTTCAACTCCTGTCACGACGCTCGTGGCCAGCACACCAAACGAAAATATGTCGAGCGATTCGTCGTACACCGGAGGGTTTTGCAGAGCCTCCGGCGCCATGTACAGCACGTTCCCTGGGCATGCCGTTAGATCTGGAAGAAAGCCAACCAAATCCGCAGGACTTGTTGGTCGCAGTCGCGCACAACCAAAGTCACAGAGCTTTGCGATCTGGCCCTTGATCAACACATTGCGCAAAGTCAGGTCACGATGAATGACAGGGGGATCTCTGCTATGGAGATAGCGAACACCCGCCACAGCATCCGCCAGGAATGATAGCAGGGCGACATGGTCAAACCGATCTGCACCGACACTGCATTGACAAAGGGTATGATCGAATAGCTCAACCACTAACACTGGAAGATGACGATCGGCAGTGACTGCAACACCGAGAACTTGACACAAGTTTGGGTGGTTTAGCTGAGACAGTCTTGCTATCTCAGCGCCAAATCGCCGCAGGTTCTTATCTCTCCCCTCCACATCTGCCTGATCATGTCTGGGGTGAAACACCTTTGCGGCTACCGGTATGCCTTGCCATACTACTCGATACACATCAGCGTCCGACCCGCGGCCAATCTGATCCTCGACTGTGAAAATGCCATGGTACGCGATTTCACCTCTGCCTAAGCCTAGATCTCGCAGTAACGCCGCTTCAGGCGTTGATGTCGCCATCTCTACGGCTTTACATGTGCGCCAGGGAGGGTGGAGTGCGTCCGAAAGCCAAGCGCGTGGTCGATCTACAACAGAATGGTTTTCCAGACTACAAAAGGTAAATGAAATCTCCCATCTCAGCGACGATCTGCGCTCTCGTCCGCCCTAGAGATCCTATCAATTTAATTATACCTGTTCGTCTCGGAGTTGTGTTTCGAACTACCGCACTCAGTAGGTCTAGGGTAGATAAGGCTTTATGGCAACAGCGCTGCATTTGAAGACCGTAGCATCCCTGTCCAGGCGCTAGGCACCTGCAGCAGTGCATGGGCAGCAGATTATCTTGTCACGATGTCAGAGTGGTGTTAAGTACGTGATCGCCCTAAACTAAAGAAGTAAAGTCGTGTGGCATGACTGACCATAGCAGCTAGCTACAGTCATCCGTGGCACACGACCATAATTCTGCACTTAGCAGAAAAATCCGCGTGGGCGTGCAAGCGGTGTACTTTAGTTACTTCCACGGCCTGGTACAGCAGTCCAAGCGTATTTTTGAAATGTTTGGAGGGGAAGAAGGTGAAGAGGAAAGAGACAGCCCCGTTCAGAGTTTGAACTAGCGATCCGCGGTTTTAAATATGAATGGTCTTAGTGTGTGTTCAAGTAGTGGTACTTCAGTTCTGATAAGAGGCCCTTCATGGTACAATATTTGTGCTTTGGATCATCTCTGGCCAATCAGCTCAAGGTAAACCATATCAACACGACACCGAAATGACTGGTCCATGGTGTTGGAACAGAGCAAGGTGAAAGATGAAAATAACTGTCCAAAACACGTCACTATGCAGCTCACTGGCGTAGTTGTTCCACACTACACTACAGTATTAATACTAGCTTTGTGGTACAGAAAATGCTTGTTTCTGACAAGGAGTTATCCTTTGCTGACACGAACTAAGGGAAACTGAACGCCAAAAATACGTATGGCTTATCGGAAGGCGAATTGGGCACTGATTCCGATGAGCTATGTCTCAAGCCAATCAGAGAAGAGGAACAGTGTCAAATTTCATAAATAACAACTTCCATATTTGGAAATTGGGCTTGATGACGTGCGTACTGCTTAGCTGTCACCATGCTGTGCATGCTCAGCAGCGTAATTGAATGGAGGAAAACAATTACTTTGGTGTTTTGCAGCTCTATTTCGTTCCCTGACGGTAACCAAATCTAGATGTAGGAATCTGTTGAGCAGGAGAGTGACACATGTCTTCCCAAAGGCTGTCCAGGCTGCAGTGGTGATGAAGAAGACACGATCGTCACGCCGAGATCGATTGTAGCGAATTGGAAAACTCATGGTGAATTTGCTTCCACTCCAAGGCAGGGTCGAGGTATGAAGGGTGCTTGTACTGCCTTCCAAAGTGAAGAGGAGATGAACATGGCTTTGCATAGCTGTTGTTCTATGCCAACTTACCTACTCTTGCTGGTACCGTAGTGGCATATTGCAAAAATTTCGTGGACGAACAACTCTAGTCACTAGTGGCTAGTGAGCAACACTAACAGGTGAGCTTTTCAATTCGACAAAAAATGTTTTTATTTGAGAACTGACAGTGGCAGTCATTAGACTCAGTAGGTGCCTCTCTGCTGCTTCTTTCCCTTCATCGGTAGGGTTGTGCTTTCTGTTAGTATTTAATAATAGACGAGGAGACAACAACTTTATATAAAACGAGAGAGCTTGGAAGCTCAGGGCCCTACGCTATGCTTTTTTGCCTTGATGACCCAGTAAAAAAACCATAGAGATGTTATAAATTTTTCATTTCTCCAATTTTTTTAAAAGACATTACCTGTGATTCGAACCCGCACTATCGCCGTGCATGCATCCCCCGATACACTTCGCATACATACTAATTCTTCCAAGTTGCTTCACGTTATGATCTAGCATTTGTTGACAATCGGCTACAATGCGGATGCAGTACGGATGCAGTTTTGAGAGCTCTGCATCCTTTTGTGGAAGTAGTCCCAAACCCGCACCTGGTCGCGGGGTCTTTCAACCCTGGTAATGGCTCTTAATGCTGATGTGGATCTTGCCCTACTTGGTTATGACCAGTTACAAGAGCTTGGCCGAAAACACGGTATCAATGGCTGTGATGGATTTGCAAGGCCAGACCTGGTCTGCGCGCTTCGGAATGCCGGCATCGGATCCTCCTGGACTTCCGCCAGTAAGTGCCAAGTCGATGTCTTTGCAAGTCTTACCGAGCAAATTCTTCACCTGACCACGGAAGTATCATCATTTAATTCATTGAAAGCCGAAGTAATCTGTATCAAAAGCGAATAAGGTGAATTGCAGAAATCCAGAAAGCAATCCAGAAAGCAATTGTATGCAGCTACTGCCCGCCGATCAACCTGCACCCAACCACAATGTACGCACACAGCAGACACACGCTCGCCAAATGCACATGTTGCACCGTACAGCACTATGGACCCTTACGCACATTCAACCAGAAAGGTCATGATTGCACCGGATCAGCAGCAGACCATGCCTGCGCGGCCAAACCCCCAGGTTGATTCAGACTTGCAACAGCATGAAACCAGGCGTGAACGTCGTGCCCATACTCAACAGGAACGCGCAAGACAGGGCCCACTTTCACCTGGCGCCAGCACCCCTGCAGAGATAGGGGAAGACCCAAAGAGTACGGAACCCGCACTTAGGCGCACTATCACCTCCAGCTACAAAAAAACCGCCCCACTGCACCAGGGAAGTCGCAGCTCTGTGGCGTCCAGCCCGTCAAATATGCAGCTCTATATGTGGGAGGGATTAATCCTGGCTGCCACGCAGATGGAATCGTACATTGGTGGAGGGATCGGGACGTTGAGGTCGTATCATGCAACATTTCAGAATCCAAATACTTTGGCACCGCTTTTGCACATGTGCTGATAGACGCAAAGGACATGAATACAGTCAACAAACCCGACTTCTGGCCGTCAAACGTCTCTGCCCGACCCTGGAAATTCAAATCCGATGATGATCGCACTTTAGGCAGTGTAGACCAGCGTCGCTACTCAACAGACGAGAAACAATTTGGCTCCACCTTTCCGTCCTGCACCGACAACCACGCACACAACTTCACACGCAAATGCTGATCTTTTGCCGGGTAGATTGCTAAATCCCGAAGCGAAAACATTCCAGCCCCTGCCATTACCGGCTACCAGTCACCCATTTGTCTGCTTTAACGCTAGATCAATACGGAACAAGGTCGCGGAATTAACTGACTTCTGCTCCACGTGGGACCCGTTGTTCCTGTCTATTACTGAGACATGGCTGCACGGAGCTCAAATATTCTCTATCCCAGGATACGGCTGTTATTGAAGAGACAGACCAACAACCGAAAACAAAACAAACAGGTCCGAACTTTTGGTGTATGGTGGAGTTGCTCTTCTGGTGAAGTCTGGTGTATTTCCCTCTGTTGTACATCGTTCGGACCTTCACGCTCCAAATTTCGAAGCTACGTTTGTAGAGATTGAGTTTCCACTGAAGGGTTCCGGAACACAGACATTTGGATCCGGGAAGTCCCTGCTAATTGGATCCCTCTACCGCCCACCCTCGAACACGGCTGCCGCCATTGATACATTTTGTAACTCTCTCCAACACTGTCTGACTGTTGTCAAAGCTACAACATCTGCAGTAGTGTTGATGGGGGATTTCAACGCTAGGTGTTCAGACTGGGAGGGGGACATTACCGACAAAGCAGGTCACCAATTGCGATGTTTGCTTAAGATGTTTTCTTTGGAGCAATTTGTAAACTTCCCCACGAGTCTGCCTCGGGCCCTGGAGCGGCTCTGGATCTTGTAATAACTGATATTCCCCACGCCATTGGCCACCTCCATGCTGAAGCACCTATGGGCCAATCTGACCACTGTATTGTTGTTGGTAAAATTAAAATGTCACAGTCCCCGCGGTCTCCTGTCTCTGAGCAGAAACAGCTTCCACATCGAAGTAACCTTGCTTCATTGAACATCTCATCCGTGCCGAATGAAGCGGCAGTTGCGCTCAATGAGCGTCTATTCCATATTGACTGGGAGGCTGTGCTCCAACTACATCGGGGTGATCCATCCCTTTCTGCAGATATGCTGTTCGACACTTTGAAGGAGATGCTGCAGTCCTATCTAGAGCGACGCAAATGGACAATCCGATGCACACCCTCGAAATCTGCCCGACCACCTTGGCTAACACCAGCATTAAGAGAAAAAATCAAACGGAAGCGTGACTCGTACAGTGTGTACAGGAAGTATCAAACCCCTAAAAATCAAGCTGTGTATAGGGCGGAACGGAATAAGACCCGTAACCTCTCGCGGCTGGAGCACCGCAGATTTCTCCGCACTCTCAATTCATTCTCCCAAAAGGCCCAAACACCATCACCGAATCTACACAATTTTATCCGAAGTTTGCGGTCGGACTCCACCGGAAAACCCACTGTATCACGCCTCAGCGTCCGAGGAGCTGACATCAAATCACCTGACGACATTGCAAATGCCCTAAATAAGCAGTTCATTGCATTTGGTGCTCCGGAAAACCCTCAGTGGACGCTCCCGCCTTTGCAGGACGCCTCGACTGCGCCGCCGCTCACCTCTATCTTCGCCACGCCCTATGCCGTGCATAAATGCATCAAGCGTCTAAAGCCTAGTTCACATTCGACGGGGCGCGACGGGACGCGACGTAAGGATCGACGGGAAGCGACGGGACGGTCTGACGGCGTCCAATGTGAACACCAGAAACGGGAACGCAACCGTACTACCGTACAGATCGGGAAGCGACGGGAAGAGTTGGATCGATCCAACTTTTCATACCGTAGACGGGCGTAGACGGGGACGCAAGCGTACAAAACGGCTGCAATTCGAGTGTGAACAGGAGACGGCGTCGTGCGCCGACTACTCCCGATTCGTACTTGGATATTTTTTAGCATTTCGAACACTGCGCTTCCCATGATAACTCACAGAATGGCTAGCACGACTTGAGTTGAATTTTAGCAACATAAGATCTCATGTCACTTATTGTATTTAGGGATATTTCAGAAGCGTGACAGACGAACTATTCTATCATTTCCTGGGGCTATTATTTGAATGCCATAATTTTCAGGGCTAATTTTTTGATCTTCATGAAAAACTGGTATTGTGAACTTGATTCCGCTTCTTTCAAGGAGGAATAATTGAAAAGAAGTCCCCAAAAACGAGAAATCAGGTCCAAAAGTCACCCAGTCACGGAC